CGTGACCCCAAGAGCTATTGGTAGGGCCTCCCTAGGGGGAGAGGTCAGACTAAGACAGGTACCCTGGTCCTCCAGGTCGGGGGTTAGTCGCAAGGCTAACAACCTTGCACCGTAAAAAGGAAGATGTTTCGAAACCTCGATCAAAGCCTCGGACAGACGGACCTAACAGAGGACCGAACGGAAGAGGAGAATTGAGGAGGCCGTGGACCGAATACGGACTGGAGAGCCATAGAAGAAGAGAAGTGGTCAGCTTCACACGCTGTCCACTTAATCCCACTCTTGGATACGTCGCATTGATATCTTAGAATAAATAATTCTACCACAGGCTCTGGCGTACCTGTGGAAGGGCAGTGGGTTGAAAAAGGTTCCTGGCTGCTGGAACCTAGTTCCAGGCATCGCGTTAGTGGGTGGATCATCCACTGCGCTCCTCTGTGACTGTAACTGCTGGTGATTCTGTTGGTTGATGCTGAGGGCAGCAAAAGATGGAAGGATGAGCCGCTCCATGGCAGCGGTGTCTCCGGGACTGGCGTCGCCTCCCACGGCGAGATTGCGGCGAGAGTTGTTGAGCTGCTGTCGAGGGTCCACCAACTCGATAGCGGTTGAATTTCCGTAGACGTCGATGATAGCCCACAGTGGTCCCCTGGTCTCCACGCCGCTGAAGAACACTCCTTTCTCCTCGCCATTGATACCGAAGTGGACGTCTCCTGCTTGGGTTACGTAGTAGAAAAGTACCGTATCTCGCTCTGCAAACCTCTCTGCCAGTGCCTTCGCCCAATACCCAGGCTTATTTGTCAGGTCTGAAACAAAAGAAGTGTTTACAGTTTCTGCCTTTCTATTACAAGTATCACGGCTGAGCTCGATGACACAGTGACCGCAAAAAGTCAAACACATTATCCCAAATCCAACGCTACTGAAAATGTATTTAAGGGCTTTGGTAATATTATTAAAAGTACCAAATGTTGCTCCTGCTTCGTAATATGGAGCTCCACAAATCAAATCTTATCCTTAGACTGGATGTTGACAGAGGAGTCTCATGGTTTTATTCAGATATCTAGGCAAATTCTTGGGTAATACCTCAACGTTAAATGCTGCCTTCCACACCCTTTCCAATTCTCAAATCACTCCGCCAATTCACCAAAAATATATCCCACGCAGTTGGAAAGTGCCATTACATGAACTCAATTAGTATTATCATCAGATATGTTCATTCTAGTCACCACACAAATCTCTCGTAAAGTTACAATGCTGTATTAATCACCGTCATACCAAAATATTTCGTGGAAAATTGTTAATAAACTGATAACCTTAACACGAAGTCAAACAGTACGTTTCTTTTGCAGCGGACATATTTATACAGCTGGGTAATTTCTGTTTTTTGTTTTTAATAGTACAGCCCATTTCCGGTTGCCCTCGGTATAAGAAATACAGTTTATATTCATTTTGAAACATGTAATTAAATATTATGCAAAAGCACATTTTAAATGAGTATTTATACGAATGCAACACATGTATTGAAAAACTGAACTTATCACGTACCAGGACTCAAACTCGCATTTGACTTTTGCACCAACGCCCTACAGCTACGCTACCGCCATCTACCAATCATTCACCAATACACTCACTACTTTAAAGAAAAACAACGAATGTTAATGACTTGTCCTTGGTAGGACTAGGCTCCACGAAAAACGAAGATGAAGACTATCCATTACCTTCAATTCTTCTGAAAATAACGTAAATATTGCCATTACTCGATGTCAGTCGGGGAACAGTTAAGGCCAGTCTAAACCAACACGCCTCCATTTCCGAACCTCTTAAAGCATCACACCTATTTCTACACTACCATGTTTACGCTTCTCACACTGCTGTTTTTACAGCAGAGTTTCCTCAAATATCTGGACACCTGCACCTAAGCGTTAACAGGAGGATAATACTAAGGCGGATGTGAAATAATGACTTCACTGATCTGGCTTATGATAAGGAGAGTTCTTGTGAACAAACCTTTTGGTTGCACAAAACAAGGGACATTTCTAGATTAATTACCTGGGTATTAGCCCGTTCATACGGACTCTGTTCCACGGAGTTAACGTCTTATTAAATACGCGTAAAACTAAATTTTAAGGAAAGGAGCGCAGACCTATCTAACTGCCACTGAATGTTTGTATGAAGACGCCAAGGCCAAGGCTGAATCTGCTACGTACCTGGGCAGGCATATTTGGGAAGGCCATATCGGAGATTGTTGGGGTCATTGCACGTGAATCCAAAGCGAATTACTCCACTCCAGTTGTTTGAAACTTCAAGGAACTTGACGCAGACCTGAAATAAAAACGCATTTTGAAACCGGGCGACACAAGCATTATCGACAACACAGACTAGAACAAGACTGGAAACAAATAACCAATCAGTACCGCACACACACAGACCTACTACGCATGCGTTAACCGTCAGTACAACGAGACGTTAAGAGCAAGGTCGCAGACAAGGTTAGACCATAAACGTATGTTTTCGAAGACGATACATTACGAGATTCGCTGCGACGTGTAACGTGGTAGAAGTTTACCGACGTTTCAGAAGTGCTTACTGCCTCCATTACTACACGGTGTAACATCACAAAATACAGCCATATTATCAATAAAAATACAGGAATGTACGTTTTAAATGTTGTTTTATTTCTTCTCTACCGCGTCTATTTATAGGAAACTGGCTATTCAGATAACAATACCGTTTAAAATGGAGGGCCATGACTGTTTCCACATAGGCCAATTCCAGCAAAATGCGGACAAATACTAAAAATTAAATTTATAAAAATGAGGTATAATATTGCATTAACAGTATATATGAGTTAAATTTAATACCACAATTCATAATCTGCCTGATTCGACGTTACATAACCAGAAGATATGAAAAAGCACTGTTAAATAAATAAAGAACGTTTGGGTCTACATATTCGTGCGCACAGCACGAGATCCTATTATCCTAATCAGCAACTGTGACCCAATAAACACACAGGTGGCTTCGCCAGCTTCTAAATCAAAGACATACAGCTGACAGGTATATTATATTTCTATTTCCTCTTTAGGCTCTAACAGATTTTGGGCTATTCCAGTCCAGAATTAACTTACGTCTGAAATTATGAACCTTTCTGGACATTTCGTAGGACGTAGCACTCCCCTCCCCGCGCGTCACCAGGCAGGACAGCACAAGACACATACGCGGATGGATACACGTGTGTCCACACGACATCACGACCTCGGTGAATGCCTTATTCACTTACGAGGAGCGCGGACGGACTCCCAACTTATAAAAACGTGAGAACCGGAAATAACGGACGAGAGACTTGTGGAACCGCCCAGAAATAAGTAGGGACTACTTTCTCGCAGTGGCTTCATATCTCGATTTACATCGCTTTGCGGTTCGAGAATCGAGTTTTGAAACCACGATTTAGTTAGTCGGTTTGATCACCACAGACGGCCTGTCGCCACCATGCGCAACACAACAAAACATGCGCTGAGTAATAATTTACACGGAAGAAACAAACCAAGACAGGAAATGTTGCGCAATGAGTGATAATTTTCGATTGTTTGCGCAGTTTATTCTCTGCTAACAACTGATACGGTCTTATAAGTAGCTTAATATAGACCAGACGAACGACAAGGACTGCAGTACGGGAAAGGCTAACATTTGATGTAAATTAGTCCAACGGTTCCAACAGCTGACCCAGCACCTACGTCCATTTTTTTAAAAATATCTATTAAAAAAAACCTTAAGACTGATGGAAAAGATATTTCTGGCATAAAAAGATAAACTGAACACAGAAACAAATTGGGATTGTAAATTTTCTTACAACTACACTACTGGATGTAAAAAAACTCATTGAGATAAAACAAATAGGTTATAAAAATAGAAAATCACGCACGTTTCGAGATGACTACACAGCAGCCAAGATCTGCCCACCTCAGTATTATTCATAAACCGTTCATTTCGTAACTGCAGTTTCTACATCGCCATATATTAAATTAATTAACTACGTCACATGTTTCAATGAGTCAGTTTTTTTCCCTCTCTTTGCCTACGTCACATTCCCAGACAACCGGTCGATGGGAATAAACAGCAAAGTTCAACAACAGCCAGAGCGAAGGCCCACAAGGACAAGCACGAGTCACGTCTTCCTCGGAAAAAAGTAACAGAAGGAAAGGAGTAATCGCCTTTGCGAAACAAGGAACTGAAGAACAGTAGGAAATTCAATACATGAAGCAGCTATCCTTGAGAAATTAAAACTCAACATTCATTACCGTGTCCACTCGAAAAAAAAAAATCCTTACGACGAATCCAGTCCACATCCTCGTATCTTATTTCTTTGAGATCGCTTTTAATATTATCCTGTCATCAAAGCCTGTCTTCCAAAAAAAAAATGTGGGTTTTACCTTAGGGTTGCCCAACAAATTTTGTAAGCATTTTCACCTATTCCATGCGTGCTACATGGACAGGATCCTTCTTCCATCCTTTTCTCGGACTGGGACTTGTTCATATACGTTCTTGGCAGATGATCCATAAGTGGTTTGCCATTGCCTTCTTCTGTGTGTGAATGGAGTAATTGTTGGGATGCCACGGAGGAAAACTCCGTGTTGCCTAGACCACGGCCTTGCCCAACACAAGTTATAAATTCGGGCAGCGCCGGGAATCGAACCCGAGGCCCCAGGATTACAAGGCCAGCGTTCTAACCGTGGCGGTCAACTGCATATATATAAATTTAAAAAAGTAATTGTACACCGAGTTCCACTATTTCGGTACCTGGAAATTTTAAAACTTGACATTTTCCTAGTCCGTTTCGGAGAAACTGCATATGACAAAGCCTTAAGAAGAATATTCCCTCTTCTAGAGAAGATTCTTGGGAACAAATTATCACGAATGCCAGAGACGTCTACGTCATGTGAAAGCGAGAGCTTACCTTCTCCGCCACCTTGATGGGTCGGCCGCTAAACGTGACGCCCTTGCAAAAGCTCTCAGCTCGTCTGGCCACTGTCCCGTCCCGCGAGATGCGGATGTTGTCTCCGTGTACCTGGTGGAACAGGATTGGCGGCAAGTTGTTCGTGCCCCCACTGCCTCCGGACCTCGGCGCTGGAACAAATGAAAATAAGAAATCTTTCATTCCACTGCAGCGAGGTTAATAAGACGCGATGGACTGGGTACGACATTTTATTTGTAATTAACAACGCACACAACGCGTAATCACTCAAACAACACTAAACGTGGCCCTTCATTTTCAGTACGCAACACGGAGTTTTCCTTCGTGGCATCCCAACAATTACTCCATTCACACACAGAAGCAGGCAATGGCAAACCACTTCTGGATCATCTGCCAAGAACGTATATGAACAGGTCCCAGTCCGAGAAAAGGATGGAAGGATCCTGTTCATATGGACCTGTCGCCTTAACACCACGCACAGTTTCATGCGAGATTCGATGCTATCACGATGATGAGAGCGTCGATTGTGGTCTTGTAGGTGGTTCGGAAGAACCTACAAGACTATGGCGTCACGACCCAAAAGACCTCAATTATCACATTCACGAAATACGCACAATTTCCTAACAAACGAGGCTCTGTTCATCAAGTCATGGCGACAACTTTGTATTCTCCGTGACCTACCTAAACGAATAGGATAATATTAAAACCTATTTGTACGAGCGGGAAATAAAATACGCTTAAGAATTGAGAACTTATAATTTGTACTAGTCACACAATTTTACTGTTGAAAACGAAGGCTTAAGGCCTAGACAGGACGATAATAGAGGCTTGGATCTTAAACAAACAAACAAACAAACAGTGATACTGAGGACTGCATTCGTCTGGCTTACATTCGGATTCAGTGACCTCTTCGATCGGCGGGAAATGTCTCGATCATCTAAGCAACTGTCAGCTTATGCTTCAAGCAGTTACACATGTGATCATCCCTAAGCCCCATGAAAGGAAATCTCAACACCAATGCCCCGGCCGCGATACCGGAATTCGCTCTCCCCCATGGTGCAACCATCACTCATCAGCAAGCAGTTCCCATGGAAACGTCCGCCATCTCTTCGGGAGTTCAGTTGCCATGGAAATGCTATTGCCAGCAAGCCACCCCAGCACTGAGTGCACAGAATCACAGACAAGTTATGCTTTAACGCAGAGCCGATGGTTACAAAAACTTCCGGCGATGGGGAGAAGTAATCTACGCCAATGGCAAAACAATGCTGTTTTGTTGAGGAACATTCCAGCGAAGGAGACAGGGTTGGGAGCCGTCCTTATACAGTAAAACCCCTCAAGTTAGACACCTTTAATTGGAACTGGCGAATATTCTGTAATTTTACGTGTCCACAATACCCTATATCTTGGACACCCCTTTATATTGGACACTTTCAATTGGAACCGCCAAATATCCTATAATTTTAAATGTCCACAATACCCTGTATCTTGGACACCCCTTTATCCTGGAACTTGGTCACCCCTTTTGTTGTAAGTTGGACAGTTCATGCACTTAACTTCGATGCTTTTCAGGGAAACCTTTTCAGTTACATATTTTGTTATTTCGAATTTCTGTAAATAGATTATATTGTCATTAGACCACAATCTGATTTTTCTCTTTCCCTCTATCTTGGACACCTCTGTAAGTTGGACAAATTTTCGTGGAACCCCAAGTGTCCAAATTAGAGAGGTTTTACTGTATCAGGAAACAGCACGTGAAAGGCTCGAAGTGCAACCGCGTATTCGAAATTATCTCAATCCCCCCGCCCCTCCTGTTCTAGAACATCCCCGGATTTGACGCATGGAACGGGATAGGATGACAGGTTCTGCAAAGTTTCGCCATACCTGCTTTTGCTGGTTTTATAAAAGAGTTATCGATCAGTAGAACACAACTTCGTCTGAGAAAACGAGAGAGAGAAAGCTCACACGACGATCTGCAGTGTTCGTCACAGCAATGTGAGTTTTACTAAAACAAATTTCCGTTACTTAATCGAAATATAAAACAACGCTTGGAGAAACAGTAGCCACGACACGCAGCCAAAACCTAATTTTTTTAGAAGGCCACGGTTACATAGTCAGAATATTAACAAAAATTGGAAAATATAAGAGCTTAACGGTAATCAAATTATCAATAAATTAAATAAATTACTTTACAACAACAGAACTTAATACACAAAGGCAATTAGTGAGCACTGAGGGAAAGAATTACTTCGGAAGAGTAATTATATTCAATTCAAACCAGTCAGATTGAAAATAAAACTTTTGTCTTAAATACATCAAAGTCCCCACAGCCAACACTAACAGCTGATACGCATATAGTACAAGGAAAGTTGTTAATTCAAGAGCTAAAATTTAAAATAAATAAAAGTTCGAGAACTCCGAGTGAGAAACTCGAAAACCAACAGCTTTTAAAAAAAAACAAGGTCACTATTTCAAAATCGAGGCAAACTTCGATAACAAACATCAAAGCGGTACTTATTTCTTACGAAATGGCACAAATTTCATCCAAATACATCCAGCGGATGTCAAGTTGAACCATGCGGACAGACCTACGCGTTCATTTCATGCACATGTTAATCCTTTCTGGATATGGAGGTGAAGGGAAAACCTCTCAAGAACTCAGGCCAAAATATTCCATAGACAGTTCACAAATGCAGAGAATCTGACAAAGTGAATATGAAGAAAAAGCAAGGGTTATAATAATTTCTATTAAAAGTATATTTATGATTCATTTATATCAGAAAAAAAAAACGTAGCACTTCAAGGGATATAAGACTTTTTATATCGCATCTGCAGTATTCTACTATAAATAAAGAGGGACTTTGAGCTACATTACAGGGCAGAACGTTTCCAGGCAACGCGGCTGCCGGTCCGTCGGTTATCGAAGTCGTAACTCGTCTGCTTCAGTGACCGCAGATCATGCGGAATTGCAACACAACTTTGGGAACAAGTCAAGAAATACGGTACGCCCAGGAACACTGATGCTTATTTATAAACTTCCTTCCTCTTTCCTGTACGTCGCTACATAATCTTACGTAATTTATCTACCTACATACAGTCCGCAGAGAAAATCCCTGCTAGGAATTCGATATACGCGCATGCGCGAGATTTCGCGGTGAGTGACGACCGATCCTAAAAGCATTCGTTCCACAACCACTGAACGAACAACAGACGACAATCTTTCACGTGTTCTAATGGGTACAGCTTTAAGATTACCTCACAGAGGCACAGCGATTTAATCTAGAATATTATCGCAACACCCACAGAACACATTAGAGGTGCGCTCACTACACGCTACTCTTAACTGCTTGATGTTTTCAGTCTGTGTAGTAGCGTAAAACTCTGACGTATCACACTTCCCACCAATAGCAGCCCTCTAGTCCACCAGGCAGTAAACATTCCCCCCGCACCGCACCAGAAACGATTTCCCCTTGCAGGGATTTTCCCCTGGTCTGTGGACAGTACCTATCCAGTCTCTTTACTAACCTACTTTCCTACCTAGACAACTACCACCACTTCAACATTCTTTGTTTCGATATGCGAACTCAGGACCTCATGAACACGGGAGAGAAATATGCCAGTCAGCAAATGTCGATTAGAAAATCTTCCAAAACGTTCTATCCCACTGTCTCAATTTATGGACCCACTTCAGATTCACTAAAACTGAAAAGGATTTATACGATATTAGTTCATTAAAATCGCATACGACGTGGCATCATTCAGTTGTTTGTACCAGTAG